ACATGCTAAATCATCCTTGCCATGGTACTGCGGTGGTAGTGAATTTTTGCACTTGCTGGATGATATCGCAACCAAGTGTTGTTTCAGAGGAAGAGCCCTGAGATCATGCTGTGTAGCAATTGGAATCTCGTATAGAGCCTGCTCTCGCATAAAGCAGGCAAGACTATCACTCAGAAGCTAGGATTAATATTCATTTCCCACATAAACGCTTGAAAACCGGACTGTCCCATCTGCCATATGCAGGACAAAAAACATGCAGCCTGGATTTTAACTGTTAAACAACCAAATCAGCATGATAATCAAATCTGTAAACAGTGTGATAATTTTTGCTTAGCCCAAACCAAAGCCAGTTTTCTAGAATTAATTTGCAGAATCCTAAGAATTGGACCTCCAACTTGAAGAGCTAGCTGTGCTAACCAAGTTGCATGGGCAACCCTGAACTAGAGAAAATCTTCAAAAAATAATAGAGATCAGATTTGACTTCCACTCCTGCTATTGCTATCATTAACTATTAACCAATCAAACAATCGGATGCAACTGCCAGATCAAGTAGTGGTAGTGGAAGTCAAATTTGAACCTTTCTATATGGATTTCAGAGAGACCAGTCATTATTTGCTGATATATTATTATAACTTGTATAATCAAAAGCTACAGTAACTATAATTATATTCATTTATGATATTGAAAATTGATATATAATTATCCAAAGTGAGATTAATTTTTAAAAAATATTCATAACATCAAATGATTCATGCATGTTGGTGATTGAATAAACCATGTGGAGTGTTCATTGTGAATCTCTACAAATTCCTTGACATTATTTCTCCAGTACAGTGTAAAAATATGCAGATATTAGGTTGCATGTCCACCAGTGTGCTGAAATACCATCCAGTGACCCGGTCTTGTTCATTATTACTTGCATCTTGCTTAATTCAACTGTTTTTGCCCCATTTCTTGTACCCATAAAGTTCTTTTCAATAATCTAGAAAACTTCAAAATCATTCAGTAAATTTAATTTTAAAATTTGGTGAAAGAGGTCAATAGATGAAGAAATCATTTCTTCTTTTTCATACACATGGCCCCCATCTCTGTCAGGTGTTAGAGTAGAAATTTATTGAAGCCTTCAGAAAATAATTATGGCAACAAGGTTACATGTCACACTGTAGAGTCAGGCAATCTTTTTAAAGATCTCATGGGCACAAAAGGTATAAATGTAGGGGCAAGGGAACAAAATAATGAAATTTTGAGATTCAGGGGCAAGTTTTACGATGGGGCCGGTGCTGAACCTTTTCCCTAAAAAATCCCTGACAGAAGGAGTTGTCATGGATATTAAAAATACTCATTAACTCACTAACATTAATAAATAATGCTGAATAAATGCTGAAACTGATGTTTGACTATTGAAATAGTAGGTTAGGTTGATCTGATTTTAGCTTTGTCAACCTGGCCACTCTGTTATTACAGTAATGGCTCATTTAAATAATTTCAGGTCATTAAATGTAAATGTAAAAACAAAGTATTTGAAGATAATGCTGCTGTAAACTGTAGTTTAATAATACTGTAAGTGTAAACACGTTTCTCGCAGCGATAAATCAATATTTTAAATAATAATCATGTAAGAGTAGAACTTTACTGAGACTCTGAGTATAGCATTATAGGCCGTAGTCTGGCCATGTGTTCCTCAATATTTAAACTAGAAATTCAGCTAACTATATATTAACATGTATTTTAATAATAACATATTAATTTAAATATATAGCCTTCCAAATATATATTTCATAGAGCTAGTCAGTGTAACAATAATGGGAACCTGCTAAATAATTTGTAACAATAAAAAGAAAGATTACAACAAAAAATAAAAGAATATAAATAATCCGCGGCAATTCAAGTTCTATTCGTGAACTTTTCGTCGCCCCCCCCCCCTGTCTTTATTTCCATAAAGCCCGCTCGCAAGCTAATACTCCAAGAATCTTGGAGTATTTGCCTGACACGTGACCAGCGTTTACCAGGGGCTCGCCCGCTTTGGCGACCATATTAAAAAATCGGGCGGGCAGGCCCTGGGTACGAGGTTGCTACGCGGTCAGGTCGGTTCGAGTATGTGATATTACGGAACTGAGTCTAGTTCCTTCAATATCAGTGTAATCTAATAATCATGATATTTGCTATGTTGGTGTAATGTACTCAGGTGAAAAAGATGCTTTGTGATGTTACTCTGAGTGTGTATATCCACACCGGGCAAGCTTGAAAAATATGCCTGGCCACGCGCGGTGAGAATCGAACCTACGACCTTTGGAATACTAGCCCAATGCTCTGCCAACTGAGCTACGCGGTACGCACTGAGCTACGCTACGAAATATTACACGCTCGAAACGAGCTGACCACGTAGTTCAGTTGGCAGAGCATTGGGCTAGTATTTCAAAGGTCGTTGGTTCGATTCCCACCATGGCCAGGCATATTTTTTAAGCCTGCCCAGTGTGGATATACATTCAGACTAACATCACAAGCATCTTATTCACCTGAGTACATTACACCAACACAGCAAATATCATGATTATTAGATTACACTGATATTGAAGGAGCTAGACTCAGTTCCGAAATATCACATACTCGAACCGACCTGGCCGCGTAGCTCAGTTGGCAGAGCATTGGGCTACTGTAGTATTCCAAAGGTCATAGGTTCGATTTCCACCGTTATCATTTATATTCATGGCAATGGAAAGCCCCCAAAGAATTGTTCGTATTACGTTTCTTGATTTTCGAAAGGCATTTGACTTGATCAATCATAATGTGCTGCTAGAAAATTTTATGCAAATCGGCGTTCGTCCAGCTGTGGTTGGTTGGTTTGCATCATATCTTTATAACAGATCACAAGTAACGTCTTTCCATGGAGAACAGTCTGATTGTAAAAGAATCAAGGGAGGCGTTCCACAAGGGAGTAAGTTGGGTCCTATTGCGTTTATAATAAAAGTAAACCAATTACCAACGTTTATTATACCCAATAACCAAGATCAAATATGTAATGCCGTAGAAGGCCAGGACGTAGCGATGTTTATGGATGACACAACATTATCGGAAGTAATCAATGTCAGTGACCATTTAGGTGGCATCCCAATCGGTAATACTCAAATGAACGTAGACAAGGTGGTACAGTTTGCAAAGGACGAAGGAATGGAACTAAACTATAAAAAATGTATGGAGATGATTATTGACTTTAGGAAAAATATGACCTCTATACCCCCAATTTATGTTGGTGGTCATAATGTTTCTCGAACGAAGTCATATAAGTTACTGGGAATATGGTTAGATCGCGATCTTAAATGGAAAACTAATACGGAATATATTACAAAGAAAGCGGCCAAGAGTCTGTATTTATTAAAGATCTTGAAGAGTTATGGTGCCCCCATGGATGATTTGTTAGCATTTTACTGTTCGGTAATTCGTCCTGTTTTAGAATATGGTGCGGAGATTTGGAACGGAGGTCTAACCCAAGAGCAGAAAAAGAGCATTGAACGAATTCAAAAACGAGTACTTAGAATAATTTACCCAAATCTAGACTACGACCAAGCAATAACTGAAACAAAATTACAAACTTTGGAAGAACGTAGGGACGAATTATGTGTATCTCTAATTAAAAAAATGCTGGAACCAAACCATAAACTTCATAGCCTCTTACCAAAAAAACTAAAATACATTAGGCAAAAAGAAACAAGAACTAACAGTCAGAAATTATATAATTTCCCCTCTAAAACCGAACGTTTTAAACACAGTCCTTTAGTTTACTGTACTATATACTTATATAATTCTAGATTAGCTGATTAGGATCATCATTTTTAAAATTTTATCAGTCAATGTACAAATAGGTATGCATTAGTAGTTTTTATACATATTGTAAATAGATATAGATTAGTAAAACTTTAATTTTAATGAATGACATGTAAATATATAATATATATATATACCTTAATTTTTATACCCAAATTTGTAAACACATTGTAAATTAGCGTAACTACTACTAAATGTGTTAATAAACCATTACCATTACCAATTGCCAGGCATATTTTTCAAGCTTTCCCGGTGTGGATATACACACTCAGAGTAACATCACAAGCATAAGATAGAAGAGGTATTAAATGGCAGCTATGTAACTAACCCAAACCCTACCCCTACTCTAACCCCTAACCGCAACCCTAACTCATTTTTTTTTTAATTAATATTTAATTTCAGGAAGCTTTCTCACAAAGTGATTTTTTCAAAGGCCCTGAACTAAATAAACTATTTTACAAGGAAGACATGCATATACTACATAACTATGAAAAATATTAAAAAATTATACGAAGGAAAGTTCTCTTAAATGTAGAAATACTAGTAGATAGTTTTATCTTTCTGTCCAAGTTGTTCCAGTCTGTTATGGCCTGATAAGCGAGTCTTTGCCTTCCCCAATTCCTTGACACTTTAGGTGGCCTTAAATTGTCCTTATAGCGCGTATTGTAGTAATTTGTATATTTCTCTGTTCGCTAGAAGTTCAAATCCATGTGAGGTATGATTATTTAGACTCTTAAAAACAAATAAACATCTGTAATACAATCTGCGTTGTTCAAGAGTGGTCCAGCCTAAAGTGCGGTCTAATGCGTCTGTTGCCGATGAAAAAAATGGTCTATCTAAAACAATCTTGGCAGCTTTGTTCTGGAGTATCCGAACATTGTTCATTCATATGTAGGTTAAAAGCCAAGGGAGAGGTTTTTATTAAACTGTGAAGACCGAGGGCCGAAGGCCCAAGGTCTTTACAGTTTAATAAAAACCGATACCCGCAGCTTTTAACTTGTTTATATACTCATCAGACCATATTCTTTTGAATTTTGGAGGTTTTCTTCATTAAAAATTCAAGCTATATTAATTCAATGAGAGGCCGTTGCAGTTGTGGGACGAAATAACTAGGTGTAACATGCGCATTAACACGCTTTAAATGTGGTTTAAGTATGCGCAGTATATCATTTCACGTCCCACAAGCAAAAAAGCAGATATTACTGTATAAATTCCCTGCACAAGCGAGTTTGGTGGTTGATCCAGCTAGTCCTCGTGCGCCGAATGATCAATATTCCACATTTAAATAATGGATGAACGAAGAATTGGTGCAGAAGAACGAGGAATGGATATAGAAGTGGGTGAGGAAAACGGAAGTGTTGGTGATAAAGTAAGGAAGGTTGGAGATGAAGTAAGGAAGGTTGGAGACGAAGAAGGAGTGCCTGGCAGCGAAGAGCGAAACCCTGGCGGTGAAGGGAGCAGTCCTGGTGGCGAAAGGCAAAATCCCGGCGGTGACGACAACGCAGCGGAGGGTGGCGAACAGAGCCAAGAAATTGTGATTGAAAGAGCGGGAGAAGAAATGCAAACGGCTGGAAAATCGTGGGCAGATATTGTTGGTTCGCAGAATTTAAGTCAAGGAGTTGTTCCGTTACCACATGCTCGGTTTGGTGCTAGGGTTGCTAGACCCAACTCTGTTGTGTTGCATACCCAAGCGTTTAAGGATATTACCGTGCGTGAGGTCATGGATGCAGTGTTAAAATGTGTGAGACAAGATACAATTAAATGTGTGCAACAAGTTTCTGGACCTCGGTATCGTTTGACTTTTCGCTCGTTGGAATATAAACAATTATTTTTAGATCAACCGTTTTATTTGCGGGGTGAACGAGTTATTGCTCAAGAGCTTGATATGGCCACGTTACAAGTGAAAGTTTTGTATGCCCCTAGTGAAATTTCTAATCAAACGATAGCTGCAACGTTGGCGAAGTATGGCAAAATAGTGAAGGTGGATCGGGAAATGTATCGTGATTGGCCTAATGTCGAAACTGGGGTTCGACTGGCAACAATGAGTGAATTAACTGAGGGAATTCCCCGTCGTCTCTTTATTGGCCCTTATCCGATAGAAACTAGATATCGTGGGCAAGTGCCTTTATGTGGTCGATGTGGCGAATATGGTCATCGAGTTGCTACATGTTCGAATGATGTAAAGTGTTTCAAGTGTGGTCAAAATGGTCACATACAACGTTAATGTTTCAAGTGTTTTCTATGTGGACAGTTTGGGCATGTCAGGGCAAATTGTCTCGAGAATCGACGTGACGTGTCCAATGACAGCGATAATGAAACGTCGGAAAGTAATTTGAGTAACGATATTGGTCGTGATGAAGACCGTAGCGTAGACTCTCGGTCGAATGATAAAGATATGGACCCTGTGGACTCGACAAGTTGTAAGGATCCAGGTGACATCAGAGATGAAGTCATGAACAAGATATATAATGATGTCAGCCAATCTTACTCAGCAGAACAAGGATCTGTTCAAACCGTCGAGAACAACAAAAGAAAAGCAGAAAAGGACGTTTCCATACCTGACGAAGGTGTTAAGGTTCCTGGAGACTCCACTGACCAACGTGTCAGTGACATGGGCAGCTCACCTGAAGAACGGACAAAAAAGACCAATAAGGAGAAAAAGAAGAAGAGGAAAAAACATAATAAACCTTAAGGGACAATGGCGGAAATTAGTGTGGTATCTTTAAATGTTAATGGGCTTAGAGACCATCGGAAACGTCGTCTGCTGTTTGATTTTTTAAAGTATGAAAAATTTGATGTAATATTTCTTCAAGAAACGCATATTGCAACCGTTGACGATTGTGTAAAATGGAACAAGGCGTCGGGTCTGAAAGGGTATTGGAGTCTTGGCTTGTCAAATAGTTGTGGTGTTGGTATATTACTCCGTGATCCCGACAGATTCCAACACTGTACTTTTCGTTGTGATGCTGCTGGACGTATCATTTCTTTGGACTGTACATTCAATAGTCAGGACTTGAGGTTTATTAATATATATGCCCCTACTGACGGGTCCAAGCGCATAGAATTTTTTCAAAGTCTCGATAAACATTTTGTCTCTCGTAGACGGTTAATTATTGGAGGTGATTTTAATTGCATGTTAGATTTGGCGAACGATAAATATGGCGGAAATCCTGTCTCAGGAGATACTGGTGCTTTATATCTCAAGAAACTAATACAGAGATTTGATTTAGTTGACGTTTGGCGTAAACAGCATCCAACTGATCGTCAATTTACGTGGCAAACTAAACGTGGTAACATTAAATGTCGTTTGGACAGATTTTATTTTTCTTCATCGCTTGTAAGGGATTATGACATCGAAACAGACATAATGATCTATCCCTATTTGGATCATGATCTTGTTCGGGTATTGTTAACAGTTGACAAAGCTACTAGTAATGTTGGTCCCGGTGTGTGGAAGCTAAATGTCTCATTATTACAAGTGCAAGAAGTTCGTGAGCAAATTGCTTCATTTTGGGAACATTGGAAAGACAGGAAAAATGATTTTGGTAATGTAGCAGAATGGTGGGATTATGGCAAGTTACGAGTTAAATCTCTTTTTCTCAAATATAGTCACAAAGCATCTCGAAAGCGCAAGCAAGAACGTGCGACCGTACTTAATCGCTATCGTCGTATTGTGTGTAAAACCAATTTATCGGAGGACGAAGTTAAAGAACTCGACTTAGTTAAGTCCCAATTGGAAACTATGGATTTAAAACGTATTCAAGGAAACAAGATTCGAAGTGGAGCAAAATGGCTTGAATCAAACGAACAGCCATCACGCTTTTTCTTCCAAAAGGAGAAAAGAAGAGCGGTTAAGAAAACGTGTCCTGCTCTGCGCACGAGTGATGGGCGGAGATTGACTGAGCAAGATGATATCTCAAAGGAACAAGTTAGTTTTATAAAGAACTTTATTCAGAAATGCCGACAGATAAAGTTGCCCAAGATCGGTTACTCAATTTACTGGACAGAAAACTAACAAATGAGCAACGCGATTCATGCGAGGGTCAGTTAACGGTGGATGAATGTTTGGTAGCAGTAAAGTCTATGGCAAATGGCAAAACCCCTGGTTCCGACGGTCTACCGAAAGAATTTTATTTGTCCTTTTGGGACCTGCTTAAAGAAGACTTTGTTGAAATGGCAAATTATTGTTTTTCAGTTGAACTGATGCCTGAGTCTATGCGCCAAGCATTAATATCACTGTTGTTTAAGAAAAAAGATCCTGAATTATTGAAAAACTGGCGCCCAATTTCGCTCCTCAATACAGATTACAAGATTATTACAAAAGTTCTGGTAAATCGTGTTAAACCTGTTATGCCCATAATAATACACCCGGATCAATGCTGTTCTGTCCCTGGTCGTTTGAGTGAAGACAATGCGACTCTCCTACGAGACGTATGTGACTATCTGGAAGTTAATGAAAGAATGGCCTGTGCCTTTATATCGATAGATCAAGAAAAAGCGTTTGATTATGTTGACTGGGGCTTTTTAGACAGAATTTTAGATACCATGAACTTTGGTCCACAATTTCGATCATACATTAAATGTATTTATCATGATGTTCAGAGTGCTATAATCTCCAATGGTTATGTTTCAGAATTTTTTCAAGTGCAACGAGGTGTACGACAAGGGTGCCCGCTATCTCCATTGTTGTTTGTCATAGTGGCGGAAGTGTTTGGACAAGCGATTCGGAAGTGCCCAGAAATACAGGGATTGCGTGTGCCTGGAGGAAAGGAAGTGAAAATATCACAATATGCTGATGATAACACCTGCATTGTTACCAATTCATATGGCCTTGTTAAAGTCATCGATGTCTTTAATGAATATGGTGGAGCATCCGGAGCGAGGCTTAATACAACGAAATCAAAGGGTCTTTGGCTCGGTAGGTGGCGATCTCGTACTGATTCACCCTGTGGTCTAACGTGGGTTAACACGAGCTTAAAAATTGTTGGTATTTACTTTGGTTCCGAAAATGCAAATATCCAGTCATGGGCAGAGGTTACGGCCAAATTCAAGGGAATATTGAAGAAATGGGAACCACGGTATCTAACGTTACGGGGGAAAATGACGGTGATCGGGAGTCTGGTGGCTTCGACGCTTTGGCATGTGGTAAAGATATACCCGCTAACGCGTGAATGTATTGACTCGCTACAATCAGAAATTTGGAAATTCGTTTGGTCAAAGAAACCGGAGTGGGTGCGTCGGGAAACGTGTATGTCAGACTATCTGAATGGGGGTCTGCGAATTATTAATCTTGACATCAAAAGCAAAACATTGTTGATTGGTCGTGTTTTCCGATTTTTGAGGAGAGTGAGGCACCTTGGAAAGATTTCATGCGTTATTATATCGGACGGTCTTTAGGCATAAACGATAACTCGAGACCAAATAGCGACATTCCAACTCCGTTTTATAGTCATCTTCTTCGTGTTCTGAGAGAATTTGCTGTTGATTTGGGACAACCTAGCACGAGTAAAATGTATTATTTAAAACGTATTGAAGATTGTGTTACCCCGGTACAAGCAAGAAGCAAGTTAGCTTGGAATCAAAGATTTGGTCCTGGTTTAATCTGGAAAGAGATTTGGACAGATGTCCCTCGAAGTTTCAATGATCCAGTGTTACGTGATTTTGATTGGCGCGCGGTACATCGGGTTTTGCCTGTCAATTTCAGAGTGCATAAATGGTATTCAAGAATATCCTCAGCATGTGCACGGTGTGGTGAAAGAATCGAAACATTGGAACACACGTTGATTCATTGTCCGATGGTAAAGGAGCTGTGGATGTTTATTCTGAAACTGTGCAATCAAATTAATGCATCGGTTATTGGTCTGTCAGAACAGAATATGTTGTTGGGTTGTTTCCCGCGAACAAGAACAAGAGACCTTTTGCGTTACTTAATTAGTGTTGGCAAATTTTCCGCGTGGAAAGAGCGCGTGTCATATCAGTTTAGGAAGGATGAGAAAATCAACAGTCTTGTATATTTTAGGAATTATGTGCGAACTCGATTAGAAACAGAACAGGGCATCATGGGCACGAAAAACTTTGAGTCAAAATGGTGTTTAAATTAAACAATGTCTTAGCATGTGTCACAAACGGTATAATTCGAACTTTGATCTAACAGTCAATATTTGTGTGACTTAATGTAAATAATTTAATGTAATCTAATGCATGTGAATTGTGTGTCAAATAATTTTGATTCCCCGTAGTGATATACACTATGTGGGGTTTTTAATAAAAAATTACTCTTACCTAATGGTAGAGTTTTGACGGGCTCTGAGGTACACGGCTGTTGTCTCTTTCTCGACTTAGAGACGAGCAACGTTTTCTAGTCGAAAAGGAGATGGTGGGTCTTGAGTTTTCCTGCAAATTCAAGCCCCGAATTCAAGACTCTTGCCAGGTCTTGAATTGAAAATGTAAAACCAGGCAACTGGTTATTATTTTTTCGTAATAACCGGGTAGCAGGTTATTACGGAAAAATAATAACCTGGGTAGCAGGTTATTACGGAAAAATAATAACCTAGTAAGCAGACTATAGTAGGTTATTATTTTTCCGTAATAACCTGCTACCCGGTTATTATTTTTCCGTAATAACCTGCTACCCGGTTATTATTTTTCCGTAATAACCTTCAACCCCGTATTTCCCCCGGAGAAATCAAATACCACCGCCTGCTTTTAGATTGAAGGTTATTACGGAGGAGTTAAAAACCGACGAAATACAAAAGAAGATGGTCGGATGAGTTTGTAATGTTAATTTCTAACCCTAACCCTAACCCTAACCGAATTAATCAAAAATGGAAAAAAAACGACTTTAGAAAATCGATAGTGCGGTTTGCTGGATGGAAAAAAGTGCTAACCGGTTCATGTATTTTATAGCCTGTGTTGCCCAGACGGTTTGACAACTAGCTTAACATTACATGGGGCCAAAAAATCACGTTCAGAGTAAGAAAATAGCATCCCGGTATCGACGATAACCGACGTTAATAAAGTAATCTACAAACAGACCGCAATTTTTTTAACTTTGACACACTTTTGGCCTTGATACACTGAGGAAAGTTTCCTATTAAAACAAAGTTTCTGAAACAATGTTTTAGGTGGAAAAACTGCAAGAATGTGGATTCCAAGGAGATTTATGCTCAAAAAGTGAAAAATCTTTCCAGCCTTTCAAAATAAAATAAAAGGTTTAATATTTTTAATGATACGCTTGTAACTTGTTTCATAAAAGTTTGTTTTTCTAGACTGGTGTATCAAACTATGGTTTTAACTTGTTCTTTCTGTTCGCAGCTGCTCTGTTGTTACTTTTTGCTCGTTCTTTTTGCTCGCAGCTATTAATAATTCAAACAATGTCAATGCCAAATTTTCATTGAAAACAAAACAAAGATTTTCACGGGAGTAATATAGTTGAGCGAAGGCAGTACCACGTGTAGCTTAACCTGCACCGACCTGCAATTAACCTGCACCGACCTGCAACCTGCATTAACCTGCAACCTGCAGTTTAGACCCTCCGCATTTTACGAAGTGTTTCAAGTTACATTTTACATTAAATCAAGGCTCACAAAATGCAAAATAATATACCTACAGGCTACAGTATATATTTCGGAAATTTATTGTGGTATAGTTAAAAGTACGAATCTTTCAACTATTTTGCAGTTTTGTACAAGAAATATAAAAAAATTAAAAATTTAAGAATATTGTGTTGTCACTTGTCATGGCAACACTTGCCGGAGCGCGAGCCTGCGTTTAGTGTTGGTCATTTCTGAATACTTCATGTTAATTTAATATTTGGAAAATATTGGCGAGGGGTTACTGCATGCATGTATTTCTAGTTGCAGAGAATATCTTGGTGGCAGCCTAGTCCCAGTCGTTCTGAAGCAAGCGCGAGAAAAAACGTGGATGTAGTACGAGACTGGGACCTACAATCGCGTGCAAAAATAATGAGACTTTTCACATTTTTTGCCATTTTAAAGTACGTTGGCCTCCCCCATCCCCCCATGATCAATGTTGGAGAAAGCGGGTTGAATTTAGTCTTTTCAGTCATTCATACAACATTGAATTGGGGGTGAGGGGGGCGTTTATGCGGTTGTCTCAATAATTTTTGCTCCTGATTGTCTGTATTTGTACTTTAGAATAAAACGCAATTCGTTCATGTTGATTCAACTTAGTGCTCCAGGGAAGACGCTGACTTGGATTTCTTGCTTGATGAACGTTTTACTATATAATATTTTTTCTCAGCTGTTTTCTATAACTAAGTACTTCATGTAAAAAGAATATAAGGGATCTTGAGAACTATCGTGATTTTTGTTAGGTAAGGACGATTAATTGATGAATATATACATTGGAAGAAGATTATAAAATAATGAATAAAATTCAGACATTTTTCCCATGGCTGACAATCATGAGTATATATTTTTTTCTGAAACAGAATATTTTCTTTAAGTTCAAGTATTTTATAACAGACAACGCATCGTTTTGAGCTACTTGTATACAATTTCGGAAAAATTTCAATGATTTTCCTACTTTTAATTGAATTGTTACCGGTATGAGATTGACATACTGACTAGATTTTAAACCCAATTCAAGCATTTTATTTATGTTGACATATGGACTTACTGATCGTAAACTTGCACTAGAATTTATTGCAAACTTCCATCTCCTATGATTTTGGGATTATGTGAGATGAGCTCAAGCAAATCTGGTCGAACATGCGCAAAATATCAATCTATTTTTACGTACTAATTATAGACACGTTACACACACGTTACACCACACGTTACACCACACGTTACATAATAATCTGTAGTAAAACATATAGAGATACGACACGTTACACACGTTACACCAATTGTTATTAAAAATATATATATATATATATTTATTTTTAATAACAATTGGTGTAACGTGTGTAACGTGTCATATTTCTATATATATTACTATAGATTATTATGCAAAGTAGGTGTAACGTGTAGTGTAACGTGTGTGTAACGTGTGTAACGTGTCAGCGTTTGCTCAATAAAGCCAAGTGCATAAAATTTACATGAACTAATCACTTTAGATTAGTTGGTGAACACCCCACAAGAACAACAGCACATACTGCAGTATAAATGACAAAGTTTTCTAATTTTTCGTCATATGGCTAGGCTGAGGAACTCTCACATTTAATGATTCCCTCCTGAGAAAATGATGGCTAATTGAGCTCGAAAGGACGTAAGAGTAGTTAAAACACTACATTAGATTTTTATGGCTTATCAGATGTGTTGTTGCTATATCGCAAAGTATTTTAATAGATCGTGTTTAGCCTACAACTTGTCTATTTTCCCAATGATTTTTTTAGTAAGTAAATGATAGTAAAAAATTAAATTCGTTAGAAAAGCCTCTTTATATTTGCCCGGTCCCCCCCCCCCGGCGCAGCCTCCTTGCAGAATTTCTACATTTTGGGCGAAAAAAAACTTTCGGTTAATTAATTGATTAAAATATGTCAATCTCATTTCATCTTGATCGCTAGATTTTGGCAAAATTTAAAATTTTGGACAGCTAACCCCCAGACAGCCCCATCTCAGACAATCGCGTGCAAAAATAATGAGACTTTTCACATTTTTGGCCATTTTAAAGTACGTTGGCCTCCCCCCTCCCCCCATGATCAATGTTGGAGAAAGCGGGTTGAATTTAGTCTTTTCAGTCATTCACACAACATTGAATTGGGGGTGAGGGGGGCGTTTATGCGGTTGTCTCAATAATTTTTGCTCCTGATTGTAGGTGTGACGTCACCGCTAAAGGTGCTTCAGAACGCCTAGCAGATTTCAGTATTTTTAATATGGCGGAAAATTTATATATACAAATAACCTTGTAAATACGACAATGTTCGTTGATCATGTTCGATGTCTACATAACCAAATTCATACTGTATAAAAATGTGCTCAACTAAAAAAAATTATATACAAATTTACCATACTGAGTCTGAGCTTTGGTCGTATATTCGTTGATGTTATTTATATACTTGCAAATTGTGATCAACACTGGACCATACTGGTATACAAAACTACGCTTTCACCTTAATTGGCAGGTTTAATTTAAGTAGATGAGGAGATTGGACATATTTGGCTGACATGACTGTGTTGTCAAAACATTTTTAGTCGGAGACGGCTCGGCATAATTTTCAAGCTTCTAAATAGCATTTAATATGGCTTTCTATTTTAGTAAACACGAGTCATATTTAGCCCCGTCAGGTCCATTCTGACCGTATGGTAGCGAGACGTAGCCTATCTCATAGAGCAAAACTATTGACTTAATTATAACGCAAAGGAAATTTCCATAACATTTTCTATTTACAAACGCGGAATGCTTGGTAACCAGGCCAGGGACCACTTTTTTGAAATCAGGGACCATTTTACCGAAATCTGCTTGGCTCTCTCGCTAAAGCGTTCCGCACAGGACACCTAGGCATAAAACTTTTAAGACTTACTGTTACATGATAGCAATTATCATGTATATTTTATAATTAACAAATATAAAACATTTTCCGTGTTGATATACAGTTATATCAACACGAGTGGAATTGGGAAAACGAGAAATTGTATGGTGTTTGCAAGCGGCGGAAAATTTCCCGTGTTGACATTGAGTTATATCAACACGGCTCTTAGCCAATCAGCGTTCAGAATTTACAAATGCTATATTATAACATTTTATATTATACATTAATACATTTTACTATATATATTATATATCATAGTTTAGTTATATTACATTTACTCTAAAGAATTTACCTATGGGAAATTGTTTTAGCTTGGTCACGCATGAGCAAGCAAATATTTAGTTACCACAAGTGCGTAATGGACGGGAACGGTTACCGCAAGAAGATTGTAAAAATCTTCCCACGAAATGACACTGCAAGAATAAAACGTTCCTCTCTGAACATATATAAGGGAGAGCACAACTCTTATGCATGATTCATTCATAGGCCTCCGTGCCTTACATGATTCATTCATAGGCCTTCGTGCCTTACATGATTCATTAAATAGGCCTCCGTGCCTTACTTCATTCAATAGGCCTCAGCGCCTCAGTTACATTATTCATAGGCCTCAGCGCCTTACGTGAATATCATTTTGGAAAATTATTATAAAGAAGATTGTTAAGGAAATATTGTTACAAGTTATATACGAAAGAGTATTGAAGTTAAAAAGCGACGTTACGTGAAGAGGACGAAAGAGTTGTGCTCAGTCAGACAGAAAAGAGATAAGTTGAACTGATATAGTTTTAATTATATAGTAATTGGATATAGTATTATAAAGACGCTACTTTAATATAGCAAGTTAAAGAAATAAATAGTTATATAAACGTAACTGACTCACACTGATTCTTTGTTGCGAGAGAAATCGAACCAAAACGCGGGAAATATTAATATTAAGGACCACGCTCGTAACACTTACTTAAATATACCAAAGCAGCGAATAGAGAGAGAGCCTGGGACTAGGCTGCACAACGATAACATGATCCAGCAGTACTTAGAGTCAAAGTTTACTTGGCGTTGAGATGCCAGAACCCCAAATTAACTAAAATTAACTAAAATTGTTGATAAAAAGACATTACAGTATATAAACTTACAAATAATTTATTCAGGCTAACTCATTCAATTAACCAGTTTAAGTGGCTCCCTACAGTTCTCTAAAATTCTAGGTATTTTGAGTATCGTTCGCTTTGAACCGAATTTATATTAGATACACTTAAGACAAGGCAATATGATCATTTCCAGGAAAGTTCAGAAGCTGTGTGCTGTCCATTTATGAACAAATTAAAACAGTGTTTGTGTTGCCATGGCAATCATGACGTTTAATCTTTTGCACTTTTATTGTCTAATTTCACAATAAATTGACAATATCTATATTTTCCTTGGGTGAATTTTTCTGAAATTTTTTTTGAAGAATTATAGTCCATAAAGGAAAAACATATCAAAATTTGAAGGGAATTTACAAATAAGTTTTCGAGATATTCGTGAATGACGGTTACAGAAAAAGTTATTTGTAGAATTTCTTAAAATGTGGATATGTTGTACCACTCGTCTTGTATAACAAAAATACAAAGTTTAAAAAAATTTCACCGAAGAAAACACGAGAAAATCATTGCTAAAATCGGCGTGGCCAGCATGAAAAAAAATCGACTCGACATGAGCACGATCTGCGCATGCGTGTAAATTGTAGCGTGTGATTCATAGTGATTTCAACTTTTTGGCTTACAATACATAAGAAAACAGATATTTCTGACTTGTTTGACATGAAAATAAAATATTAATCTTGAAAATACTAATACAAAACACTATTATAGGCATTGTATTAAATCCAGTGTTAGTTTACATTTGTTTTTGTTGTTAAAATCGGTGTGAAAACTTTTCAAAACATCGAACTACAAGTTTAACTTTTCATATAAAACAACTCATGACTGTTTTATTTGATTTAGCAGATAAAACGATACCTGTAAATTGAATTGATTGACAGAACTTATATAAGTTTCGGCAACAGTTCACTACTGTTCAAGAGTTAATAGAAGACAGTATCATTTCAGTTTGACAGCTCGCAAGTCGCAAAACAACAAGTTGAAAATTTTGAGCAATATGAAAGACAATACTGAACGTAAATACGTAAAAACACACTAAAAGATAGGTTAAACTAGTTAATAACACACGTACTGTTCGAATTCAGAAAAAAATAGGATTATAATGAAAAACTGGGGCTTTCTTTGTAGATAAAAAACGCCAAAAAACTTCCCACGGCTTGTTTCAATATTTTTGCAGAACAGTAAACACGATTCCACGCGCAGGTCGCGAGGATGAAGTCTGATCAGGGCGCTTATATAATGGGAGGTGAAACCAGGGCGTAGTAAAACACGGGCGGTGAAACGCGCTAATATTTGCCTGATCCATGTGTGATGCACGGGAGACTGGCGCGAGCGTGCGAAATGCGCGGATCAAGCGGGATTTTTAAAGATGAAGCGAAGCAAAAACAAAAAACAAAAATATTTAAAGGGCAATCAAAAAGTACAATTTGTTAAGGTAAATCTATCCTTAAAATGGAAAAAAATTAACTTGTTATAAAATAGAGCCTCTTGCAATTAATTAGTATTGCAAATTACATCGCTGGAGTTGGAAAAGCATTTTTAAAATGTGAAATTA